GCCAGGTTCCCTGGCACACCGGACTTCATTTTTCACCATCAACCCCGGTTGTTCGCCAAGCGCGCTTCCAAACAGTTATAGGACCCAAAATCAAACCCAAAGAGTGAAATATTTTAGAATGCTGCCATCACAAAAAAATGGTGGTTCTGCTGCAGAGTTAACTTGCTGTAATTATACAGTAGTACAGTAATAAATTGAACTTACGAATTTTCGAAGCTATTTAATGGCAAGGACTTTCTGATGTATCAGTGGATCAAACAGTTCCTACAATCCAGCGGCGCATGCTCAATGGTGCAACCATCCAAGTATTAATCGTAAATAACAATGACACAAATCGGTGATGGGCCCCCCTTAGCCGTCCACGGTGCATAATCCAGCGGATTAAACGGCTGGGGTGAGCACAAAGGTAAACTCTTTGGCACCAATAGATACTGACTAGATCGACCCACAGACAGTGAGGCTGGGGCCTTGGTAACCACACCCGCGTATATACATGACAAATGTATTTATATGTCGAAATATTTATGTAGGATTCATCTTTGAATGTGTGCATATATGTATGTCATAGAATGTGTGCATGCGATCATGCGAGCAAAAACCATGAGACGCAATATTAAATACTAGCTAATATCTGATATTAAAAAAACAATTCTATCAACTCATATTTATATATATATAAAGCATATTGATTTCCCACACTATGATGGTATTACAATCCTTCCAGATTGTTTTAACTTGCAGCAAATTGTCAATTCCCACCATTGTACAGTAGTTGATGCAAATGGCATAGGCAGTCTAAGAACAGTAAAGAAGCGTGGGCGAGTTACTAGCACTCAGAACGGTATGGTTCACTAACTCGGTGCGAAATCGTACCATAGCTGACTATGTAACAATGATAGAGTACAGTGGGTACAGGGCGTGCAGTAGTTCGACGAACCACAAGAGATACATAGCCGGTGTGTCGATTGTAGATATGTTATGTTGATTAGTTGGCTAAGAACCCTATTGAAATTCCAAAATATTTGCAAATGTGTTCTGTCATTTAACTAATTAGATAATGTTGGGTGTTGATTTATCAAAGGGTGATGATTTAAGAAAAGTTTTCCAAAATTATTCCAGACCCCCCTGGGTTGAAAAGGGTCATGATTAAAGACAAGTTTTTGGGGGGGAGTTATTTTTTTTGGATTTTCTCTTGTCCTTTGCGTTCTTTATCTTTTCCTTGTCCCTTTGAGTTCTTTATCTTTTCCTTTTACTTTCTATTGGCCATTTACTAAACTGAGAGCTTCCTGAAATGGCTGGTCCCTTTATTAAACTCCTTTTAAAATATTGAGGTTTGACAATTTTCCAAGAGGGTAGCCCAGGAAGAGCCAGGATGTTGAATAATAGGTTTGTCAAAAGGGTGTTGATTAATGCACAAAACTTTTTGGGGGTGGTCTTGTCTGCTTCTTCCTTTTCTTTTCCCTTTGAGTTCTTTATCTTTTCCTTTTACTTTTCATTGGCCATTTGCTATACTGAGAGCTTTCTCAAATGGTTGATCCCTTTATTAAACTCCTTTTAAGATATTGAGGTTTGACAATTTTCCAAGAGGGTAGCCCTGGAAGAGCCAGGATGTTGAATAATAGGTTTGTCAAAAGGGCGTTGATTAATGCAAAAAACTTTTTGGGGGTGGTCCTGGCTGCTTCTTCCTTTTCTTTTCCCTTTGAGTTCTTTATCTGTTCCTTTTACTTTCTATTGGTCATTTGCTAAACTGAGAGCTTTCTCAAATGGCTAATCCCTTTATTAAACTCCTTTTAAAGTATCGAGGTTTGACAATTTTCCAAGAGGGTAGCCCTGGAAGAGCCAGGATGTTGAATAATAGGTTTGTTAAAAGGGTGTTGATTAATGCAAAAAACTTTTTGGGGGTGGTCCTGGCTGCGTCTTCCTTTTCTTTACCCTTTGAATTCTTTATTTTTTCCTTTAACTTTTATTGGCCGTTTGCTAACCTGAGAGCTTTCTCAAATGGCTGATCCCTTTATTAAACTCCTTTTAAACTAGTGAGGTTTGACAATTTTCCAAGAGGGTAGCCCAGGAAGAGCCAGGATGTTGAATAGTAGGTTTGTCAAAAGGGTTTTGGTTAATGCAAAAAACTTTTTGGGGGTGATCCTGGCTGCTTCTTCCTTTTCTTTTCCCTTTGAGTTCTTTATCTTTTCCTTTTACTTTCTATTGGTCATTTGCTAAACTGAGAGCTTTCTCAAATGGCTAATCCCTTTATTAAACTCCTTTTAAAGTATTGAGGTTTGACAATTTTTCAAGAGGGTAGCCCAGCCCAGAAAGAGCCAGGATGTTGAATAATAGGTTTGTCAAAAGGGTGTTGATTAATGCAAAAAACTTTTTGGGGGTGGTCCTGGCTGCTTCTTCCTTTCCTTTACCCTTTGAGTTCTTTATCTTTTCCTTTTACTTAGAGAGATCAAAGAAGAGTAGGGAAGAGAAGAGAAGCGTAGAGAAGAGAGATCATTAATTTTCAATTGTTGAGATCACCCATTCCCTCAGGCAAGCCTTTTAAGCAAAGAGTTTATTAATCACGACCCATCATTTGTTTAGGGGGGGAGGGGGGAAGGGGTTATAAATCACGACCCAACATTAAGGAACATAGCAGTGTACAACAGGAACATGCACGGAGACAGTGCTATGTTTAACAGTCGCTCCACAACAGTGCACGCTGCATCCAGCTCTAGGAGGCTTCTAAGCACGGTTCAGCTGCTTCCAAAGCGCGCTCCACCAGAGTATTGTCAGCTATGATCACACTACGCAAGCCAACAAAATAATCTCAAACCTTTTATTAACCAAGACAATGTTACACATACAACAAACACCGTGCATTCACACATCCACCAGATTGTCGCACCCAAAAAACACAAAAGAGACTGGGCCAACCAAAATGTAGAATACCATACTATTTATTCCAAACCCATCTTTTCAAAAAAGTGGAAAATAGGGGTTCCGGGGTTCACGGTTTTTAAAGGGCGTTCACGGTTTTTAAAGGGGGTTCACGCGAGTTTCACGCTAGTTTCACGCTGTTTCACGCTGGTCCGGGCCTGGATTCCAACCAGCCAATCTGAACACTTTTGCAGCACCATTTAAGAGCCAGTGATTAGCAAAGGCCATTCTGAACACATGGCATTACAAGCTCTGGAATTTACGCGTGTGACCCTTCACTGAAAGAACCGTCCAAAAGCAGGTACACTGTGGTTTAATGTCAACCTCCATGCAAAAAAAAACCCTAAATAAAGTACGCCAACTTGCCGGAAATTAATAATAACCCCCCTAAATAAAATACGCCAAAATTTTGGGGATAACCAAATTTAGTGAAAAAATATTCTCAACCCTATCCTGAAAAGGAGACTGAGACAAGAAGCAATGGAATCTTGAAAAAGTTCCCACAACTCAATTGATCAATCCCCTTATTAAAACCCTATCAAAAAAATAAAAAGTCAATCTCACAAAGGGGGTAGCATTGAAGCCTCCAAGCATCTCAATAGATTGTTTGTTTTAACCCCCCTAAATAAAGTATCTCCATCTGATGGTCTCTGAATTTGTTTTAATTATCTTTAACAATTAGGCAATTCATTTAGCAATATTAAACTTACGATCCAGAACCAATGGAATCTGAAAAAGTTCTCACAACTCAATTGACCAATCCCTTTATTAAAACCCTATCAAAAAAATTAAAAAATCAATCTCACAAAGGGGGTAGCCTTGAAGTCTCCAAGCATCTCAATAGATTGTTTGTTTTAACCCCCCTAAATAAAGTATCTCCATCTGATGGTCTCTGAATTTGTTTTAATTATCCTTAACAATTAGGCAATTCATTTAGCAATACTAAACTCACGATCCAGAACCAATGGAATCTGAAAAAGTTCTCACAACTCAATTGACCAATCCCTTTATTAAAACCCTTTCAAAAAATCAAAAAATCGATCTCACAAAGGGTAGCCTTGAAGCCTCCAAGCATCTCAATAGATTACTTGTTTTAACCCCCCTAAATAAAGTATTTGTATCTGATGGTCTCTGAATTTATTTTAATTGTCCTTAACAATTAGGCAATTCATTTAGCAGTAGTCAACTCATGATCCAGATGTTGGATGAATTCTGGTTTTAATTATCCTCAACAATTAGGCAATTCATTTAACAATACTAAACTCATGATCCAGATGTTGGATAAATTCTAGTTTTATTTTTCCTTAACAATTAGGCAATTCATTTAGCAATAGCAAACTCATGATCCAGATGTTGGATAAACTCTGGTTTTAATTATCCTTAACAATTAGGTAATTCATTTAACAATACTAAACTCATGATCCAGATGTTGGATAAATTCTGGCTTTAATTATCCTTAACAATTAGGCAATTCATTTAGCAATACTAACTAAACTCATGATCCAGATGTTGGATGAATTCTGGTTTTATTTTTCCGTAACAATTAGGCAATTCATTTAGCAATAGGCAATAGTAAACTCATGATCCAGATGTTGGATAAATTCTGGTTTTAATTATCCTTAACAGTTAGGTAATTCATTCAGCAATACTGAACTCATGATCCAAATGTTGGATGAATTCTGGTAATATAATTCCTTCACAATTAGGCAATTTATTTAGCAATAATCAATTAGAATCTTGATTTCTTGCTAATTGGTTTTCTTATTCGTCCTTTTAAAACAATCGTAATCCTCCTAAATAATCTTTCACCGTTTATTTCAGTGGGTTTTGATTGTTGGGGTGGGGGGGTGGGGGGGTTTACTATTTGAAGGTTAATATTAGTTCCATTGAAACCCCGTGATAAAATGGTTGACTGATACAGGACAATACGACATCATCAATTTAATGGGGATGTGTTATTGCATGCGCTGCCATGACCCACACTCGGCTCAATATCCCCAACTGCGTAAGGAACAACACCATACAACGCGCTACGGCAAATCCTTTGCCAAGACTTTCATAATCGAATATGGTATTTACCAGATTTACCGTGCATCTGCCACACCTCCACATTCACTTTTGTAGCTGCAAACTAGTGAATGGATCTACTAGGCCTTGGACAAAGACCGTATTTTTTTGTTTGGACATCATCAGGGTTAAAGGTGGGGGCATGAAAAACAAGCGAATTTAGTTAGACTTATCGTAGAATCCCTTGCGTAAAAAGAGAAACCGAGAAACCACATTTTACACATGGCCAATGTATGATGTGATGGTCAATTATACTGAATCATACAAATGATATTCCTGAGGAGTCTCTAAGCAATACATTGTTTTCTTTTTTAATTTCGGATTGCCCAAGAAACACTCATATATATATATATACAAATATACTATATACACAGTTGTGTATTTGACGAACGTAAATCACAACATCATAGACCCTTTCTGACAAGAAAATCGGTTGCCAGTTTCCAGGAAGCCATTGCCTAGCGCATATGCCAACCGTAAGAATGAGTTCTCAATCTTCTCACAACTGGCTGAATTAATTGGCCGACCGCAAGCAAGCAGGTGAGGCTGGTTGGCACTCAATAAGCAATCTAGGTGAATATTTTCGACACCGTCTATAATTTCTAGCAAACCTAAGACTCAGGCCCCTTACAAGGGGAAGTGCAATTACTTGAGCTGGACATTGAACATCAAAAACCAAACAACAAATAGCTGCTACATATCTATGAGCAGAACCACATATCGTGCAAATGGGCCATGCTCAATATAATAAATAAAGTTGCAGGTGTTGAGCCAAGATCTCTTCCTGGTCCATGCCTCGAATCCAAGATCTCTATCGTCGAATCAAAAAGTATTGGTGTTAGCTTTGAGTTGTGCCTGTATTAGTTTCTATTTTTAAATTGTCTTGGAAGGGGCAGCTCCCCAATCATATAATGGAATCATATTGTGGATGGTAATTTACCACATATGATATGGCTGAATGGTTGATAATCTGATGATTCTATCCTACTTATCTTATTACAGACTTTGTGTCAAAACGGTCTGTTCCATATATACTTCCACGCAGTAGTATGTAAATGGTGTTTTTACCAAGAGCTAGGCTTCAAACTGGCAAACAAAGGGGGGTTCACGGCAAACAAAGGTCGACTCTGAACCCCCTTTGTTTTAAAGGTCGAGGACTCCCAGGGTATACACGATATGTCCATATATCATACTCCATATGTCGTGGTTTTCCTCTCATTTCTCCACATTTTTGGACATCCATATGTAATAATTTAAATCATAATGTACTGTGATATATCACGATATATCGTAATCTATCAGAACGTATATTATGGTATATCACAATTGAAGTACAATACTTACATCAGAACACGATATCACAATATATCATCAAGTATTAAATATATATATATATATACACAGTGTATATATATATATATGGTCATATGTATATATATATATAGCATATGTCTTATATATGGTCATATAGTATATATATATACATATCATACATATGCTACTTATATATACATTTACATATCATTACATATCATATATATGCTGCTTATATAATACTTGATGATATATTGTGATATCGTATTCTGATGTAAGTATTGTACTTCAATTGTGATATACCATAATATACGTTCTGATAGATTACGATATATCGTGATATATCACAGTACATTATGATTTAAATTATTACATATGGATGTCCAAAAATGTGGAGAAATGAGAGGAAAACCATGAAATTTCGACCAACAAATCTTCAGCTATGTACAGCTAAGTTCCGAATTTTGGAGATCGAAACATATTTCCAGATGGTCTCCACCTGCCGTCGGTCCACCGATTCAGGTTCCCTGACCCACAAAGCCGCGGCGAACTCTCACGCATCGACGTGTTCAGTTTCTGCATCACCCAACTCCTGCTCCGGGGCTGCATTCGAGGTGATATTTATGGGAATTGATGGACATTTAGGAAATTAGGTTGTGAGGTTGGGATAGAAGCCCTACAACTGCCTAGAATACCTTAATTCTGGCATATTATTATGCAAGCATGGCCATAATGTACATGCTCAGTAAGTGGAACTGCACCCCTAACATCCCCCAACAATACACAGGACCCTCCTTCAGGATACAAACAAATTGAGCATCACAAGCCGTGACTTTCTAATGTGACGGTACAGAACAGCAAAGGCTCAAAAATGTTACTTTTACCATCAACCTACCACTCACTAGTTGGTTATCCCAGTAACAGCCATTCAATTCCTGTTTTGTGTGCCTCACATCTACTTTCACAGTTTCATTGGCAGATGATATCCTTTGTTGGTTGCTTCCAAAAGGGAAGCGTGTGGCCTGGATAGCTGAAAATTCAGGATCTGTTGAAAATCTCCAAATTGACAAATTACCAAAAATCCTTCACACAATCAACTGGTTGGTGGTTTCAACTCCTCTGAAAAATATTAGTCAGTTGGAATGATTATTCCCAATATATGGAAAAAATGTTCCAAACCACCAACCAGTCAAGGTCTGGATCTTTCAATTTTATTCTGAAACAAAAAATGCCCCCACCATGGACACACTGGATGATATCCCATCGCCCGTTCATATTCAATAGCCGAGTCACCATGGTGGTGGTTTGGGTTGGCACACATGTTTGGAACCATAGAATAGGGGTGTTCTTTTGATTTGAGGGGTCGGATTTATATAATTTATACATAGATAAACCATGATAAACTCACATTCAGAGCTACAGTCCTTTCTGCCAATAAGATCCAATAAGTGGCCTGGCTTCTGGGCTGATACGAATATAGAAATCCGAATTTCTGCTGGTCAAGTTTGTAGAATTTCTTGGGTAAATTCCCAATTTCTACTTTGTCAAAGCCATCATTCCCAGCTTCAGTTGGATTCTTCCAGATACTGCAAGTCCCTATTTTGAGGGTCATCCTACTTCGTAGGTGGTTAGTAACTAGGAGCACGGCCTTTACATGGCCGTGTGTTTTTTTGATTCATGTGATGTTGTTGATCATGTTTGATGTGCTCGTGCCAATAGGAATTCGTGTGATTTTAGTGTAAAGGCCGTGAACGCCTTAGTTCCAAGCAGTAAAAAGAAAACAGTCAGTTCACCTACACGAAACCTCCATTTTGGGTTTTATTCAAAGCCCAAAGCCCCCAACTAATTCGTTTTCACAATTCTTCAGCCGTCTTCTATTCAAGAACCTTGTAGTACAGTAGCGTAGCATGATGTATGTGTGGACGTTCAAGAGAACGTACCGTAGCGTAGCATGAAGTGTGTGTGGAAGTCCAAGAGAACGTACAGTAGCGTAGCATGATGTGTGCGTGGAAGTCCAAGAGAACGTACAGTAGCGTAGCATGACGTATGTGTGAGAGAGCCAGTGACGTTATTATCCCACCCCACCCCACCCCCCACCCCCCACCCATGAATACATGTCCCAACCGACAGCCACAGCGTAGCTTCATGTGCAAGTTCACAAAAACGTTAAAACATGCCCCACCCCACCCCACCCAACAAAACACTACTGGCTTTTGCTTGAGTCTTGATGTCAAACCTACTGGTGCACCGACCCAAACGGTTGGGGGCCAAAAAGCTCCGATCCCCGTGGTGGAGATGGAGAAAGAGATTTCAGGAAACAGTGTTTGGAGACAAGCCTGAAGGAAAATTCGGCCAAAAAGGCGCACATGAGAGGCAGGCGGAAACCTGGCCACAGGCTACAGGCTATATCGTCCCCAGAAGTTTCCATAAAATCAGCCTATCAATGAATCACTTTCAATGAAGGCAAAAATAATGGCAGTCACAAACACCACTGCCCTCTAAAGGCCGTGGTCCAACTATACTTATAACTTATAACCCATTGATGGGATAATAACCCATTTGGGGGACTTCGGATTTCCAGGGTGGCCACCTTTGATGACTTTGATGGAGGGAAAATCCCTAGTTCCTAAATCCGCACGCCGTGTGATCCTCCGATCTTGATGGGCTGGGTAGACATGTCTAGCTTGATGTTTTAAACGTTAAAAAAAACCGATATTCTCCCAATTCGAATGGTGATTGGTTATGAAAACCCCGTGCTGATTGGTCGAAAACTCATGAAATGATATTAAATTCATTGAATTTCCGTATATTATTAAAAAATTAAAGAACATAGAGAGAATATCAAATGGTCATCTTGGAAGAATGGACCCTAGCAATCCTATGAAAGGGCCAGAGACTTGGCAGACGATCCCCAAAGGTGGCTATGATTTATCTATCATGGGCTGGAGCAACCCTGGAGCAACCCTGTTTTCATGAAAAATATATTATGGGTATCTTATATTATATTTATATAATCCACTGGTAATCATACCTAGCGAGCCTGAACCCTAACATTTTGTAGGTTTTTCATCGAATCTCCGGGTTTTTCCCAAATTTCATTAAAATATGGGTTTTCTTCCAAAAAACCCGAGTTTTGTATATATATATATGTATACTAAAGGGCTTTTTGGGGAAACTGATCATGTTTCTAAATATATCAATGTAATCATACATAGCCAAACCCTTCCTTGGACAGCCTGCCTTGCTTCAGGTCGCCAACAGGAGTATTGATGATCAAGGATGTACTATGTAAATTCCTGATTTTATATTTTATATTTTCACTTTGCTTATGACCTAGCGAGCCTGCACATTGGAAGCCGCTGATTCCTAAGAACCTGGATGCCTGAGCCCAACGGATGGTGAAAACTTACCCTGTATAAATACAAAAATTTTCATTGGTTTGGGTCAGAAGAAATTTGAATTCGGCTTTATAATTCCTGGATGATTCCAAACATGAAAAAAAATCTGCCAAAATCTGGACCTGGAAAATGAATCCAATTACGAACAAACAGGTGGTTCTTGTTTTTTTCCGGACAATATGAGGATTTTTTAGGATTTTCAAGATTTTGGCTGAAAATTAAGGGTTTTTTTTGAAAAACCCGTATTTTCCCGTACTTATCCCGTATTTAACCCGTACAAAACCCGTATTTTTTGATTTTCCTAAAAACCCCGGGTTTTAGATTTTCAAAGATTCACAAAGATTTTCAAACATTCACACAGGATTTCAAACAGAATGATCACAAAACGGGAAAGATCATGACAGATCATGGAAATTCAAACATAATGAAAAACATTGCTTTTCAAAACCCCGGGTTTTGATGCAAAACCCCGGGTTTTCTCTCAGACCCTACGATTTCATAGGTTCTTGGTTCCACTGGTAGGCAATCATTTCATCTATAACGGGTTCTTGAATCAAAGTTGGGGTCTTCTTCCCCCCCAAGCAGCAAAGTCAAGCGCTGCAGCTCCTGTTACTCTTCGAAGTGGCACACTTCGTGGTGTCCCACTGGTGACCCAGACCTCAGCAGTGAGGTCGCTACAATTCATGCAAATGATATCCATGTGACTTATAACACGTATATGATTTTAGACATGTTATCTTCACGATAGTTCATGATACGATTGATAGTAAATATGATGTATACATCAATTAGTTTCAACAAAATAAGGCATGAAATATCCCTTATCACAAGATGAAAACCAACTATGAGACAATTACATCACAATATATCACAATATAACAATAAGAACAAATTAGAGGCATGGGGATTGAAGCACCAAACGACAAAAAGTCTTCAGCAACAAAAAAACATCGTCAAATTAAACAACGGCAAGAATTGGACAAAATGGTATCTAGCTGAATTATCATCATTCACTAACCTGAAAATAGCTGAAATAAGACCCTTTGGGGATGATTCCCCATATATAAGCCATCATTCCAGTGAGGGCACAGAGAGGACATTACAATTCATCCACATGTTATAGATGGTTTCCGCATTGAAACCTCCATTTATAGTGGATATCCCTATATCTTCCCATATGTTCCTATGATTTTCATTGATTTTCCCCATTAAAACCTCCACTTAGTAATCATAAGTGAAATGAAATACATCACTGAAATACATTACTGAAATACATGTCCCTAGATTTTCCCATATTATTCATCCAGATCTACTAGTAATGTATTGCAGTGATCTTCACTGCAGGTCTTGATTTCCGTTCGATGGATGGGACCATTTTCATGTGGGCCATGTGGGGAACAAAAAGGATTTACCATCTGGTAAACTAACATAGCTATTGAAAATCGTCATTTATAGTTGATTTTGCTAGTTTCCATAGCTATGTTGGTTTACCAGATGGTACTGTATATAGATCCTAAACTTACTTTAATGCTAAGTATTCCCCAAAGATATATATATATGGAATAATGGAATATTCATGGGGACATGACATGATATGAATGGGGATGTACCCTCTGGTAGAAGTGGCAATGTATAGTTGATTTACCAATTTACCAATTTAAAATTGCGATTGTTCAAAACTATGTTAGTTTACCAGAGGTAGTTTACCAGAGGTAGTTTCCGTTAATGCTAAGTATTCCCCTTCTTCAAAGCATGGGTCCAGTTTGAATACAATGCTGGAGAACATGACCAAAAAAAGGGGGGATGCATCTCCGAAAGTCGTCTTCCACGAGTTTCCACTATATCAAAGAGTGGTTTAATATGGTTTGATTAGATTTCACAATTCAGTTCAAGTTCATAGGGGTCATTTTGCTGTTTCAAGATGTGATAAGATACCCGGTTCTATCCGAGAACATATTTATATATGATTTTTTCTGACTGGCAAAATCGGTGCTACATACTTCCAGTTGATTTGCAATCTGTTGTGCTATAACATCCTATAATTGAGGTGCCAGTGCAGGTTGCTTTCAGAAAAGGCATGACCCATTGACCAATGTCTCACTGGTATGATATACAGCTATGGAAGCCATGGCCCATGAATAGATGATACTGCTACAAAAAATGGTGATGTTCCATCGGAAACTGTTGAATTACCCGAGTGGACATCCCTATTACCAAGTATCACAGTATATCCCATGGAATATATTTTGGGCAATGCTTCATACCCCGGGTTTGTTCCTTAATCCACCTATAGTTGTGGCAACTATGTAAATTACCAACGGGGTTGAAACATACCCCTGTTTTCCCATCCTGTTTGGCGAGCAAACATTCCTAGTGGTTTAGTTCAAAATCCCGTTATAAGGCAGTTAGTATAAGCCCCAACATATACTCGTATAATTATTTCCAACTATTGTTGGCTAGATCCCATTGTAAAATGACTCCGGAGTGTGCGTTTTCAGAATATTCAGACTGGCCAATTTGATGTTTAATTCATCCCCCTTGGAAAACAAATTAAACATCAAGGTCCAATTTGAGGGTTTCACCCCCTAATAATGAACACTAGTCAACCCCGGGGTGTTTTTTTTATTGAGGTCTGCCTAATTGAGGTAGTTTTTTTTAATTAATGTGGTTAATTTAATATTAGGGGAAAGCTTTGAAATCCAATTTTTGGCCATATTCTAATTAGATTCTAAAAAGAATTTTGATCGATTTTGAGATCGAGAATTCTAGTTGCTTTATTTAGTTTTTTGAATTTAATGTTGCAGTAGAGGAAAGCTTCGAAATCCAATTAATTGTTGGCAATATTTCAATGTCAAGTAGATTTTAAAAAGGAATCTGATCGAATTTGAAATCGAAAATCTTAGTTTTCCATTTTAGGTGTTTATATTTGATATTAGTTGAAAGCCACAAAAATACCCCTAGAAAAACTACCCATTGGTTTTTTTTGTGGGGAGGTTTAGGGAGAAGGGATTGTATCCTCCATTTATCCTTTTGCAAATTAACTATAGCTATTGAAACCTGCTATTTATAGTTGATTTACCTATTTTCAGAAAGATGATTTTCTATAGCAAACTGTTAGTTTACCAGAGGGTAAAACGATGTCTTTCCCAGCCATTTCCCAGCCATTTTGAAATGGCGCACCTCGTTCCGATGCCAGACGCCCCAAATTGAACTCGGGGTGCTGCGTGATGATGAAGTCGCTGCGGGTGCCTGGAGGGTCCCCTGGAAAACCGTGGTGCAGGAAAATAGGACAAAAACATCGAAATATGTGGAATCTCCTCAGTGTTATATAAGATATCTATGGGTTGCAAATATGATAAATATATAAATATATATATATGTGGAATAATGTAAGGGGGCATATCGTCCCACTATTTAATGAAAAACAAGTGCAGGACCAGTCCCAAAGAATGTATTAATCTGAGAGAAGCCTGGTGATTGTTGGAAAATTCAATACGTGGTATGGGGATTCGGGGATTCCTAGTTCATGGATAACATGACCCCTACAGAAATATACAGAAAAGGCAAAAAGAAAACATCCACCAATCATAAAATTTCCTAAAAACTGTATCAATTAGATCCCAAAACTGGGTCAAACATCCAATGCACCTAAAGGGCCATGCTAATTGGATAAACCATGGATAAACTATGGAATCTACTTGGGAGGGTGCGGGCCCAATTTAGTAAATGGGTTATACCCCCAGTTAGATTAATGGAATGTCCCCATTTAGATTCATGGGATGAAAGATGGGTTATATATGGATTATAAACCACGGATCCGATTCGTGGGATGCACATCTAAGGAGAGGTACCCCATCTATCATGCCACTTGGGATGCCGAATTTCCAATGCAAAACTCATATGTTCCATGCGTTTATGCAATATCATGGTACATCATGGTATATCATGGTATATCTAGCTACAGTTTGCTGATTTGGGGGCAAACGGTACAGTAAATGTTTGTACATGGAGCATGTCGGAAGGATATTAACGAACATGAAGACTTCAGACCAACCGAATGAGAATTAGGACTAACAAAACATGGGAACAAAACAACAAAAACTATCAACAGAAATATATAATCATTGAGGGATTAAAATGATTAGGACTAACAAAAACCTGGCGGAAAAAAACGACACACACCTATGAATTACTTTCTTCGAGATCCCCACCAAGTGACATTTTTGGACATATTTTCTGACATTCTGGCATTCTATCTGTTCTATCTGGTATATCTTCGGAGATTCTTTGTGAGGTCTGGCGGGGAGCGCCCTGATCCTGTACTCGCTGTTCGGGTCCGGCGGCGGGACAGCTGACATAAAAATCTAAGAACCCTCACCTGACAGGTGGGGGAAAAAACTACGATGATCCACAGCAAGGCGCCTGCAAACATTCCCAGGTGGTTCCCACCATAGCCTCTGAGACTGTACATGGCCTCCCGAAGATTGGACAGCGATCGTCTTCGCTACGTGGAGCGGTTTCCATGTTGAATCCCCAATAGCTGGATGGTTTAGAATGGAAAATCCGATTAAAATGGATGATTTAGGGGTACCCAATGTAGGAAACCTCCATATATTATATTATATATAATCATGATAAGCTATCTTTGAGGCTTGAATAGTTACAGCTTCCCAAAAACATGCACAAATGCAAAGTCAGTCACCTGCGCGATCCAGCATTTGTTGATCATACGTACATCGTTGGTTGGCTAAACTCCGAGGTTTTGTAGCTGATACTGGGTTCCTGTGACTTCCTTACTGTTTATTATATGTCCTGTAAATCATACTCGCGATGAAATTGATGGGATCTTCTTGGTCGCTGTTTCAAATGAGAAAATAAACCCCAAAACGTAGGTTTATTTTTTTGATTTGCCACATGAATTGACAGGCTGCTTGACCAGTTTCTGACTCAGATTTACATCATAGGAACCTCATTTAGCCATGCATGAACAGTTTGGCCGCAGGACATAAAAAGTAAAGCATGATTGAAATCAAAAGATGTCCATCTATCCCCTCTTATGCACATATATATATATATATACATATGCACCTCTACTATATACGTACCTCTAGATGAGATACACATCATCATCACATGTATATATATATATATTTGTATATGTATATGTATATGTGTATATATATACATCTATATGTATATGTGTATATATATATATATATATACATCTAAGTTATATCAAAGTAATTCAAAGTATGACACTGGTGTTGTCAAACCTTAAAAATTGGACCCACCAAGCAGTAGAAGTTGTCGCTGGGTCCTCGCCTTGCAGTCCACCAAAGTTCGTGCAGGTGAAAAGGGGTGATTGTTTTGTTGCAGGATTACGTTGTGACCAAGTCATTGATGTTATTGATGTTATTAATAAGTTAATGATATTATATATATATATATATACATAGCATGTGGTATGTTCATATATTTTCGATATTGATATCAGTGATCAATATAATGATCATGTCATTAAAATCATGTGTACGTTGATTTTGCACTATACAAATAAAATGTGGTTCCGATGAAGCGATTGGCTCTTAGCACGTCGCTTCTGGCCCTTTTTGCTAGCAAACATGGAAATCCAACCAAAGCAAAGGGGAATACCCAACAAACATTTTTCGAATCACCAATTCTTACTGCATCGAAACCGTATCAATTTTGTACCGTCCGCTTCCTCGCATTTCCTCGCCCAAACATTAAAATGGCCTTACTTCTGGCTCGCGAGCCCTTGAGCCATGGCTTCAGACGACAATCATGGAAGCAAAGAGTTCATATTCGACATGAATATGCATCAGAATCCCAGTACCCAGCATGCGATAGCTGGACGTGTCGATGATTCATAAGTCGCTAATAGGTGATATGCCCAATCCCCATATCATTCACTCTACAACCAAGCCATCTTGAATAGAAGTTTAGAAATTTTAGAATGTTGTCTTCCCCCATCTATGGTCAAAACTTGGCCCATTCCATTCTTCTACCTTGCACCAATCTGTTTACCCATCATGAATGTTGGGATGCGCAACCCAGTCCCTCAGCGTAGCGGCACTTTTTCATGCATATTGGCTACAAGTGGGTATGCGTCAAAATTGGGGCCCAAAACATGGTTTGAAAAAAACACAACTTTACCAGCGGAAATGTGATCAAATTTGATAAGACGAGTAAACAACATTAGCATTTCACAAGCTAAATATTATATGTATATGTATGTACAGTATACACAGTGTGTATATATATATATACACAGTATATATATATATACATACCTATATACACGGTATATATATATATAAAACACCTTCTCCTAAAAACGGCAAGTTTGTATGTGGTTCCCTGAGCCTCCAATTCTTTCACCGATACCCAAACCATTTGATTCACCACAAAGCACGGAGAATAAACCTCCGACATTGGCAGAGGCAGCTGAGATGTTCCTTCCAGACCTTAAATGAGCAGTGTTCAAGACCAATGTCATATTATGTCATTCTATTAAATACTGCTTGATCTGGTTGGTTAATCGGCACTGAATTTGGCCCACGAAGGGTACCCCAAGTCACAGGGTATCTACATGCCTTGGAGCTGTGAGTTTCAGATGTTTCAAGGACTTGGAAGCTGTAAAAAAAGATCTTGAGCAAAATGGTACCCTTTGGTAAATTAACATAGACCCTGCCAGATAGGGGTTGGAAGATTAGTTTCCACTAAGAATTGGTGATTTTCAGGGTCTATGTTAATTTTCCAGAGGGTACCCTTTGGTTATGACATTCATAGTTCGCCATGGTTTTTCGATGGCCCTAATCGAAATAGATGGTTTACCGAACTGAACAATGGTGATTTTCCATGGTTATGTTAGTCATAACCAGATGGTATTGTTATTAGATACCCAAATGGTGCCATCAATGGTATTGTTGTTAGATACCCACATGTTATCAATGTTTAGCAAAATGGTGCCATCCCGGATGCCCTTGTTATTACCCATTGGTGAAACCCAGCTGGAATGTATTCGATTTATTGACACAGTAATCAAACAGGGCACTGCAAGACAAAAAATGGGTCATTTCTAAGCTTATGTGTAAACTATAGATATGACATAGACTTACTATAGGTATGACATATCTATATAAACTTATATGATCTATGCATACTAATATTGATGTCAATGGACGATCCAGCATTTATCAACCAGCTGGTTCGTTAAGAACGGGATTCCCTTATTGGATTCTAATAATCCCCGAACTCATCATCAACCAACAGGGACCTCGAACATCAAACCCCATTAAATTCCGGTAAAATCACCATTGAATCCCATTATATCACCATTAAATTCCATAAAATCACTGCTCATGTGTTGATGTGTGTTTCCTATCGAAAATGCTAGTGATGCTAGTGCTTCCCAGCGCAACAGCGCGCGCCTCCGTCTCATCTCAGGTGCCACATTGGCTCACTGCTTGCTGGATCGTTCCGAATGCCTCCTGGCAGGCCACCAAGATAGGAATGCTGAAGCCCACCATTTCTATATGGAAAGATCATCTATAAACGGATATATATATATATATATATATATATTTATATATCTATATTGATTATATATTGATTATATATATATGTGTGTATTATCCATCAACACTGATTAATTGGTATAGGTATATGTACATGCAGGGAAATTGTGCAATGTTTGATTCCTGCCCCTAAGCTCCATTTATCCATCGATGATCCAAGGTCATGTTTGCTCCCCCAAGATTCACCAACACAAAAAAAAGGTGCTCGTTGCCCTTACATTTCACGATCATTTCAAGCGTGACATCGTGGTGACGTGCTTCTATGATTTACCCAGATGCATCAACTATAATACCAGAATTCCATGATATATATATATATACATATTATATATATATCATATATATATATATATGTTATATTATATATATATTATATTATATATATATTCCCATTGTTTAGTCGTCAAAACGCATCAAAACTGGTGGTGGGGCCTCTCCAAAACTCCCATCCAAAATCTCCGGTCCTTGCGAGCCTTGCTCTCCATCTCCAAGGACTGCCGCAATTTCGCGGAGTCCTGCAACCGCGAGCGCACCTCGCGCTGGATGGACTCCAAGCATTCCTTGGATCGAAGTGGGTCGGGTAGTTTTGACACCCAAAAAAAAAACACACCCATTCTGGCTGGCTCACTGTGGCTAACACCCTCATTGTAGAAATCTTCCAATGTCTTTGGTTGAATTTGTTTGAATTTCCCGTGGTTTTTGATGGTTTGAACTCTCCCTTGCTGGTTGAAAGCAGTTCAAACTACCGTTTTTGGGGACTGAAAGTACTTTGTAAACTAACTAATTGTGATTTGAACTGGTATGAATGTTCCCTACAACTTCAAAGGATTCAAAAGTCTTGGGTAAGCTTGAAGCATCTCAACTACTGGAGAAAAACAAACTGATGCCTTCTGCATCAGCGATAAAATTGGCAGAGCTAGATCACTTGGCAATTCCGGCTTAGTTTCCTGACCCCTTGGGGGAGGAAAGAAAAGGAGCAATATGCCAAGGAAGCAAAACAGAAAAGAGGTGATTTTGGACCTCCAAAACTGGGGTCTGCAAAATGAATGCCTCTGGAACATTGCAGGTATTCTTGGGTTCCATGTTACTCTGCAGGGGTCTAAGTCCCAAATTCTGTTGCTCAAATCAAACCTGAATTATTACTGGTTCAGACAGAATGTTTATTCTCAGGGCCCTATTTTGTCAGAGTTTTCAGGGCTGTAATCATGTCAAATTAATCATCATTCTCAAAATCATCCTTATAATCCTCATAGACCAGCCCACACGGCCGATGGTGTCCAGTTCGCTAAGCTGACTTATAACTCAAATAATTAGGCTTTGTGGTAGAAATATCGAACTAGTAAGGGCTATGAATCAACAAAGACAACTGGGTGGCTTTTTGATGTTCTCCCGTTGACCGCGTCCAAAGTTTCCTCCCGAAGCTGCAACACGGCCGAAGGCGTTTCCATCATGGAACTTTGCATCCTCGGTGCGCCGCGTGCGTGGTGAAGTTCATCACCGTGGTCAGGAGTTGGTGGGTCAACGGGTACGGGTCTTACTAATGGGATAAAATGTATAAGAAACCTCAGCGGATCAAGCCCCAGAATAGTAGTTCATCTAAAATAAATAGGGCTATGGACCGCCAAATTATGGAAAAAATGAGAATGGTCCTCAAAGCTACAGCAATTTTTGATGGCTGACCTGCAAATTTGGGGAGCAGTCATCCACGGAAACAGGTTTTTTGACTGTAGAAAAATGGGGATGTGATTAGGATTGATGAGAAACACGAGCTGATGTTGTAAATAATTGGAACTGACAATCATGAGCAGACGATTGATGATGGTAGACTCTCAGGAATGGAAGACTTACAATCAGCATTCTTGCAGCCAACCGC